CTATGTCAGTTAGCACTGCATTGTTCATATACTTTATTTATTACCTGGAGATGACTTGACAAACACAAATAAACCATATTGTCGCAATCGTATGTTTAATGTCTTCATGTTTCCAAACGTTTCTGTTTTTCTGAAAACAACTGTTTTCATACAGCGATAGCTGGACGCTTTTGTCCATATTAGGAATTTCCTCATACGACTTTCTGCGCGAGAGCGCCCTCCGGCTTCGAGTTTGAAGGAAACATACACTTCACAGAATGTTTAGCGCTTGGCGATGTTCGTCTCGCCTTATTCTGGGTCCGAATAAAACATCAGATCATGCACAGACTATCCTGTCTCTTTGAATTGAAATCTATATTTATTCACACCGGCTCTTGAAAACCTCTATGCGAACACACTTGCCCGAAAAAGTGCGGGGGACGAATTTCCGTGATATTAAAAGTGGGGGGGGGGCACGTCCCCCTCGTAATCTACGCCCCTGCTTCAGATTATAAAAAGGTAAGAAAGAGATGGTTCTTTAAAGAACCTTTGACTGAATGGTTCTTTGTGGACCCAAAAAATGGTTCTTCTATGGCATTGCTGTGAAGAACCTTTTGAAGCACCTTTATTTTTAAGAGTGTATTGCTGGAGCCTCTGCTGTTTTGGAGTGATAGTATCAGTGATAGTGACTGGGTGGGTCTAGTTTCTAAACAGAAATAGCCATTGATGTGTAAATGAGGGCAATCGTGTGTTAATGCGTTGGGGTTTCTGTCATCAGCACACGAGAGAGCAGTTCTATAGATGCTATTTTTTATGTTTTTATAGTATCATTTTTTGTTCCCGTCAAAAGATAAAGGTAAATTTCATTTTTTTTATTTTAATTAATTTTTTCATTGTATTTATTTTTTGCAGTACAAATTATGCAGTAATATTTCTGGTTTACAAGCACATATTTTAGTATTTATCCAGTATTATTTATATGTAACCAGGCAGCTCATTGCATTTGATAAATATATTTTATGCACTATTATAAATTTGTATTTATATTGCATTTTTACACTACTTTTATTTATTGTATCCAGGACGTAGCAGCTTTGGAAAGTCAACCTCTTCTGGGATTTTCAGTCCGAACAGAGAAACCCAAATCTTCCCTGCATTTTAAACTTTATCACAAAGACACGCTGTACTACATCTTCAGAGCGAGCGACAGCCAGATCTGTGACAGGTGAGTGTAATATAAAATACATTTGAAACACTCCATGTTGTTGATATTTTTGCCATTTAAACGTCACAATCATTTTCCTCCTATAGATGGATTGAAGCGATCCAGCAAGCCACGGTCCTCTAACCCTCTCTTCCTCAACCGTTTCCAGAACAAACCATCATACAAACGACACACACATACATTAAAATGGATTAAAATGAAGGCACACCGCATTTGCGTGTGCAGTTGCTACTATGAAGTTGTGCTTAAGTTGTTTAAAAGTGTTGTGAAATGAAAGTTTTTAGTTATGAAATACTTCTCCATAACATATCTGATAATGCATTTGCATAATATACTACACATCCTTTTATTATGCTGTTATATTTATGCTTTACGGCAAAAACACTGTAACCAGTTAGTTGCATTTAATAAATGCATTTTTATACAATTTCATTTCAGTATGTTGTCATTTTAGAATGTACAGTCAAACCAAAAATTATTCAGACACCAGATCTAGTTTTAGATATTTGTTTACTAGGTGGTGCAGGACACTATAGTTCACTTATGCAAATGAGGATAGCAAAATAAAGTAAACTGTGACATGTTATACCCAAAAATTCTTCATGCAGACACTTTGACCGGACCATGTTTTGCTTAAGTGTTTTTTCTTTAATTGTTAATTCGCATTTTTACACCACAGACTGAACAACATGAAGCATTGCTTGGTAATTGTTTGACCTAAATTGGTATTATCTAATCGTGTACTTAAATTTAACAGCCGACAGCTTTTCAACCGAATTCATTACATACCTTTCTATCAAAGTTATCTGGCATTATCAAGAGGAATTTGTTCTGACACAGTTTAACTCAGTTCTTTTTTTGAATATATTGTAGGCTACTCAACTATTTCTTGTGGCCTATCAGTATAGAGTATTACCCAGCCTTAGGGTTAGTCACCTGAGGTAATACTCTGGTAACAGCTCCAGCAGGACAGGTAGGGGGTGAGACTGATCTCGACTGGGTCAGGGGTCACACTGCCTGCGTCACAAGCTCCTAAGATGGCGTTTTGATGACGACGGGAGAAGCGAGGACCCCTGCCCTTGTTTACAAGGTATTTGAAAATACAGTGTATATGTGTTTGTTTATATGTGTCTCATATAACTATGATATAAACATCGGCGCGTTGTTGAACTGAGGAACTGATGGTGATTATTATAACAACAACGGCTTTAAATGCGTTTCGTGATACGCTTACCTAAGGTATCATTTCCTGTTGTTTTTATTTTAAACGATCTTTAAACTGTTCATTGTTTACCTCTTAGCAGACATCCATATCGTCGTGGTAGAGAGTATAAAACAATAAATGTGTGATTTACACGTCTATAAACGCTCAGTGTCCTGGGTTCCGCATTTAGAAAGACAGGTACGTGTATATTTAACGTTACCTCAGACCCAGGCGGGGGTTGTTCGCGGACGTGCTGTTTTCGACGAGCAATTGTTGGGTTTTATTTTGCTAACATTTTTAAATGAAACCAAAACACATTTTTAAAACGCGTGTCGTTTCGCAATCTTGATCAAAGACCAGCCCTAATTAATTAGCACATGCGCATTCAGGTCTTCAGGATCTTAAACTGTTAATCTGTAACTCGTAGTCATTATTTGTTCAACATTGTTGTTGTTTGAGGCTCAGTAAAACACAGTAAGAAACCGAAAAACGGGCGATGATTGTTATTGTACTGTAATTATGACTATTTTGCCAATGTCTTAAAAAACTACCATCGAACCGGAGCTTCTGCTGAAATGCTGTTTATGCAGTTTTTGCCAATACTGTAAAATCATAATAAACTGTAGTGTATGCTTTAGGAATCGATTTAATTTTGTTTAATTGTTAGTTTTTTTTGATGACTTGGCTGAGTTACAGATCTTTTATTGTAGTAACAATAACTTGAGGAGTATCAAAATATGTGGTTACGTTTTTTGGTAAGGGGTAACGCTTTTAATGCCTTCGAATCACTTCTTGTGTGAACTTCAAGACCACAGTAGCGTGCAAACGTACAAATCTCATTCATTGTTTGTTATTGGTTGAGAATTTTTTTTTAATCAGTAGCATTTACACGCATTGTAATCAATCATAGTTGGTTACTATACACTCCCAAACTACTCATTGTGTAAAAAGTGCTGGGTAGTAACTGATTACATGTAATCCGGATTACATAATCAGATTCCAAAAAGTAAGTACTTGTAATTCGAGTATATTACATGCGCAATCAGATTACAGTTACTTTTTTATGGATTACATATTATTCACACAATGGCAGTAAATTATTGATTATATATTGATGCTCCTTAATTCTTCTTCTTTCTTTCTTTTTTTAATTTTCCTTTCTAAAAATCCTACTTTATCATAGAATTAAGCTTTGACTATTCACAATAGTCACATGTTGTGTAAATAAATTTGCAAACCATGCTTCTGAATTTGAAGGGGGAAAAGCACATCTCAAGCTATTAGACCATGTATGAAACAAATAATGATGCAAGTTACTAAACACTGGTGATGTATAGCTATGAAACACTGTCTTCATCATATCCAGTGACCTTCAGTAACTGTTGATTCTAGAAGTCAGGACAAAAATATTTCCGACCTGGCAGACTTTGGGCATGTCACTGTCTTCATGTTTATTAATGTTTGTTCATATAATGCAGGGATTCCCAAACGTTTTTTGTTTTGTGGAAGTTGATACTTCAAATAATTTAACAACATATCTGCATGTTTACAGTTATCTGATGTCGGTTAATGGTCACGGTAACATGCAAGTAAACAAATATATATATATTTTTATTGTTAAAGTGTTTAAATTAGTTTTATTTTACATTTTCATTATTTGATTATTAGCTTTTTTTTTCAATTCACAAGCCCACTGCAGTTCTTACATCAAGCCCAGTTTGGGAAACCCTGTTGTAATGTAATGTTTATTTTGTTTGTAGTTTTTTGGATTGTATTTTGTGTATTTTATGATGTTGATATAAATGCTATATGTTTTTTTTTTCTCTTTGCTTTTTTTAATTTTTATTTATTTTTAGGTTTTTTCATTTTTAAGTTCTCATACTTTTTTGCTTCAAATCAGCGTTTAAGTACTGATGTATTATAGAACTCAATAGAAATCACTTTTGAACTCAATTGACATTATAACATTGACACAATTATTTATTGATTGTGACTTTATAATTATGACATATGACAACAACAAGGAATCTAAGCACTTTATCAGTAAAAACGTTGGCATAAAAGTTTGTTTTTTCCCCCCTACTGGTCATCCCGTTTTTTGTTTGTTTGTTAAAACAATGCAGATATTAGCGATTATCCTTGAGGGTTTGTGTCACATCAAAATAACATCTAGCCGTCCTTTCTTACAGTGACACCAATGCAAAGCATCAAGGGTAGGCGATGGAGCTCCCAAACTACGCCAGTCAACTGCTTCTCCAGCTCAATCAGCAGCGCTCCAAAGGCTTCCTGTGCGATGTCATCATCATGGTCGAGAACACGCTCTTCCGGGCCCACAAAAGTGTCCTCGCCGCCACCAGTCACTACTTCAAGTCCCTTGTCCTTCACGATAACCTCATCCACCTTGACCCTGACATGGTGGATCCAGTTGTTTTCCAGCAAATTCTGGATTTCATTTACACCGGCAAGTTGGCAGATGAGACCTTTGAGGGTGTGGATTTAAGCTCTCTGCTCACCACAGCTAACTTTCTCCAGCTCAATGACCTCACAAACCTGTGCTCCAGTAAGATCAACCAAAATGGGTCCCTCAATAGCGTGGCTCGTGGAAGCTCCAAATCTTCAGTTCGCCTGTATGAAGACCACTCATCAGACACTGAAACATACACGTGTATGACGCCCCCCAAAAAATGGCATAATGCTGAAAGTAGATGCATTTCGAGGAAAAAGCAGGACTTGGGGTTGGATTTGTCTAAGAAAAATTCAAATTCTGAGACAACAGGTAACGACGGAGTTTTTCTATCTAGACCCATCTCCAACAATATGCAGTTGGGAATAAATGGGAAGTGTGTTCCAAAGGAAGAGAAGTGGATAATTCCTTTGGACGGAGCTCAGGAAAGAAAAAGGGAGGGATCCCGAAGAAAATCTAAGGTCAATGGTTACATTCCTCTTAGCAGGGCTGGAAGTCAGTCAAGCCAGAATCAGACCTTCACTTTACAGTTGTCTGTAAAGAAAGAGAAAGGAATTGGAGGGAAAACAGATGAAATTGACGGCCAAAAACCAAACAATGGCAGCACCAATTTTGTTTATCAAAAGGAGACCTTTCTCAAAGAAGCTGAAGGGGACAACCCATACGTTTGTATCCCATGCGAAAAGGGTTTTCCCTCCTCGGAGAGTCTTAAATCCCATGTGGAAAGCCATTTGGATGAAGATCTGGATGTGAAGGTTGAGGATGAGGAGGAAGAGGAACGTGACGGAGACACTGGAGCCACCAGAGTCTCGCCGGAAGCTCCCGAAAGCCTGGATCAAAGTCCGTTAAAGTCCCTCAAAGATGTCGACACCGTGCGTCCCTTCCCTTGCAACATTTGCGGCAAGATGTTCACGCAGCGTGGCACTATGACCCGCCACATGCGCAGCCACCTCGGTCTAAAGCCATTTGCGTGTGAGGAGTGTGGCATGCGCTTCACCAGGCAGTACCGCCTCACTGAGCACATGCGTGTCCATTCAGGGGAGAAACCGTATAAGTGCCAGGTCTGTGGTGGGAAATTTACGCAACAAAGAAACCTCATTAGTCATATGCGGATGCATACCTCAGTATCTTAGAACAGGTCAAAGAGCCCTAAACTAGGATAACACAGAAACCCAGAGTTCTTTTAACTAGGGTTCAGTTTTCCAACAAGTTCTCCAGAACACTACAAAGATTCCTCTAGATCTTCTTTACAGGGGTTTCCTTTTTGAGCTAATGAAGGGTTTAGTTTCACCCACAAATCTTCTACGATTCTGCAAAGAGTCATCTAGGTTAAAAAGGAAACCTCTGTAGTGTAATCTACAACACATGTCAAACTCTGGTCCTGGAGGGCCACTGTCCTGCAGAGTGTAGCTCCAAAACACCTGCCTGGAAGTTTCGAGTAATCCCAAAGACCTTGATTAGCTGGTTCAGGTGTGTTTAATTAGCGTTGGAGCTAAACTCTGCAGGACAGTTGCCCTCCAGGAGCTGAATTTGACACCCCTGATCTAGGGTACTATTTTGGAAACACGTCCTATAAAGATTCCTCTAGATTTTCTCTACAGAGTTTACTTATTGAGCTAATTTAGGGTTCAGTTCGGGCCACACCTCCTCTAGAATGCTACAAAAATCCACTAGATCTTCTCTACAGCGATTTCTTTGTTGAACAAATCTAGCTTTCACTTTCACCCACAAATCCTTGAAAATTTTACAAAGATTTTTCTAGCTCAACATGGAAGCAGCTGAAGATCTAGAGCAGTCTAGATCTCTTCTCAGATTTTTCTGGGGATCCTACACCATTTCAAAGTCTTGCAGTCTAAATGAGGAGGACATCCAAAATGCACAGTGGTGGACAGGTTTGAGAAGCACTGATCAAGATCAGGGGTAGCCAACCTTGCACCTGGAAGGCTACCTTCCTGCAGGCTTCAGTTCCAAATCTGCGCCAACACACTCGGAACACCTTGACTAGCTGGTTCAGTTGTGTTTGGTTAGGGTTGGAGGATGGTAGGGTCACTCGAATCCAGACCTGGAGGCCCTGCAGGGTTTTGCTCAAACACTGATCAAACTCGCCTACCTGTAACTCTGCAGACCTTGATTAGATTCTTCAGGTGTCTTTGATTAGGGTTGGTGCTAAAAAAATAAAATAAAATTGTGAAACCCTGATCTAGAATTAGAATTCTGAGGATTTGTGGCTAGAACTAAAGCCTAAATTTTCTCAAAAAAGGAACCTCTGTAATCTATTCTAGAGATCACCTGTGGCCACAAATCCTCTAGAATTCTATAAAGTTTAATTTAGATCTTCTTCAGACACTCTATCTTTTGAGCTAATATAGGATTCCATTTGGATCACAAGTCATTTAGAATTCAATGAAGAATCCTCTCCAAAACGAAACCCTAGATGATCTCAAAAAAGGAAACCTCTAGTCTATTGCAGGGTTGATGTTTGGCTACAGTTCCTCTAGAATAATATAAAGATACACTTAGATCTTCTCTAAATACTTTACATTTTGAGGTAATCTAGAATTCCATTTGCATCACATTTAGAATTCTACAAACAATTCTCTAGACTGATTTTTACTGATTTCCTAATTTAGGATACATTTTCATTCACAAATTCTCCCAAGATTCCTCTAGTTCAAAAGGAAACTTCTGTAGAGAAGATCCGAAGCATTCTATTTGTGGCATTCTTTCAAAACTAGATTATTTCAAACCTCGTATACCTTGTTGTTTAATCTAGGGTTCAAAAGGGTTTCTCTACGGAGTTTACTTTTTTAGCTAATCTAGAGTTCAGTTTCCACAGCAAATCCTCTAGAATGCTATAAAGAATTATCTAGATCTTTGTAGAAGAATGGTGCTGCCGTTCCCTGATAAGCATAAAAATGCCAACTTCAGCCAATACCTGCTGTTATACCTCTTTCTTCATACCTTCTTATTCTTGTGCATGAATTGTTTGTTATTGTTAGTGTGTAGCTAAAAAATATCAAGTTTATCCACTTAGCGATGTAGTTTAATCGATTACCTCAAATAGCTAGTAATCCTCTCAGAACTGAAACAGCCGAATGTTCCTGGTGATACCAGTTATTTTACAGCAGTGACTTGCGATACCTCTCGAATGTAATTTAGGAGTCATGATAGAGTTTATGCTTCAGAAACAGGCCGCTGTAATAAAGCTATCTGGGTTGTTTACTTGAATACACAAACTTGCTACCTCAGATTAAACCAAACCCTCTGATTAGCCTGTATGAGATTAAAAATACATATTAGAGAAGAGAAACTACACAGTGTCTTCCATATTACAGTCACTCTGTCTAGTTTAATTAATGAGCTTAAACTGCAGACATCTGATTCAGAACAGAGGAAAACATACTGCCTGTGTCAGTATACACTTTTCAGGGGGTCAGGTAATACTTCACTGTAGGGTTGCGATCTGAGCTAGTGAAGTAGTATTGCTTGAGCAATTGGGGTGTTTTGATGTACAGTTCCAAAGAAATATTGAATGTTGAAATGCTTAAGAAATACTGTAAAACTATAACCAAATCTATATTCTTGCTAAATATTTAAGTCTAATTTATGCTTCTTTCAATTCAGGTTTATAGCAAGTCTTTCTTCTTTTTTCAAGGGTTTTCTTTTGGGTTTTTCTTTCCTTTTCTTATTTTAATGCGTCAACCAATGGTTTAATTTATACAGCATGTTGTCCATATTTTCTTGTGGCATGTGCATTATTCTTATGAATTTAAAACAGTTAGGTTTAGCAGATTGCATTCATGCATTTAGTGTTGAAACGAGACCAAAAGCGTAAAATCAATACCTACTGTAAATATCTTTGGGTATCTTGACATGTTATTGTTATCAGTTGATATATTACTGAAACTTTTACTTATTCAGAGATGACATTTTCTTATTGTGTTTTAATTTCTCTACACCATGTTTGTTTTAAACTACCTCTGGTTGGGTACCAGATGATGGGTTTTCATCATGCTGGAGGGCTTTTTAAACAATACCTAATTTCGAGGTTGTATTCATTTGTTATCTAGTAATATCAAAAGAGGTACTTTAAATAATAGATCAACTAGCCTAAGATTTGATTCGCTGAATTGACTTTTCAGGCACTCTTTGATTGTTTTGTGCTTGCTTTTTCTCTCTTTTTGCTTTATATTGAGATGATTATTTGACACTGTCTGTAAATAAATAGGATTCTAGAATATTCAGAAACTGTTTAATACATAATGGGACTTGAAACTGAACTTCAAAACTGTGACAACACTTTCATTTGCATCCTCTGCAAACCTCAGGGAACATTTTAGGGACACATCCCAGTTAACTTTTTGAACCATAAAGCGCCATTAACCAATGTTTTTGCAGCTGTTTGTCTGTTTTGTTTTTTAGATTTTTTTCAATATTCTCTACAACTGACACAATGCGCCTTCAGGAGGTTTGGCAGCTCTTTGCATTTGCAGTACAGGTTTGTGTGTGTACATGTATGGTCTTGATGTGGTTTTCAAATGCTTTTGAAATGTCAAGTACTTTGTTCTGAAATGATGATGCTAAAGTATTTGCAGCCTGTTTATGAAAACCAAAGCACATTTTCACTCTGAAGAATTTAAGGTCCTATTGTATATAACATTGTTCTCAGTTATGACATTAAATAAAATTAAATGCTGATCAAAAAACTACACTTTCCCATTTGCTTTTTATTGACTTTATTGACAAAAGAAAATACTTAATTTTTGGAATCTGATAATCCAGATTACATGTAATCACTTACTACACAAGGCACAAAGATCAAAGACCTTCAATCAGTTTCAAAAGACAAAAATCGCACAAATGCTGATATTCAGAGGAAATGGCAAGATTAAAAATAGCATAGACGTTAATAAAAAAAAAAGTGCTGAGATGAGATTTTGTGCCATTTATGGTAAAAAAAAAAAAAGGTGTGTGGGTCATCTTGCCTAGTCTTACCCGACTTCTGTTTGAAATGTTCATCATCGCAAACTGCAAACTATACCATACTATTTTAAACAATAGTATGCAGTATATAGCCTATACTGCACAGACTGCAGAATTCTCAGAAAAAAAGGTAGCCTACAAAAGGGGCAGAATCTTTTTGAAAGGCACCAATATGTTCCATTTTGGTACTAATATGACACAAATATGTACCTTTAAGGTACTAAAAGTCATCCTTTAGGGGGGAATAAGATACAAATGTGTGCCTTTTGAAAGGGTCCCGTCCCAGTGACAACTTTTGTACCTTTTTCTGAGTGTAACTATAGTGCTTTCATATGTTGTCCAGTAGGTGGCGGCAAGAATCCACACAACTAGGTGAAAACGATCGGCATTATTCACTTTGTGAGCAGCTCTGTGAGATGTAATTTAAGGGAATTTGAGCTTTGAGAAGGGGAATTTTGCAAATACTTCAGGGTTAGGTTTTGGCCGATAGTTTGGTGAGGTAGTATTTGATATTTCATCAATGAATTATATGTTTCTTTGAATGCTTTCACTTTAAGCGTCATTTTGCACCTCAATTAGCAGTGACAGCTATATACAGTGGGTACGGAAAGTATTCAGACCCCCTTCAATTTTTCACTCTTTGTTATATTGCAGCCATTTGCTAAAATCATTTAAAGATATTTTTTTTCTCTTTTCTGCATCTTTATATGATTCCGGCGGTTTTTCTGTTGCACCACAGCCTTCATCTTCCATTAGACGCCTACCTGTTACAGATCTGCATCCCCACACAAGCCAGCTGAGTCCTCTTGTCCTTAAGCTCCAGTGAACTCCAGATAAGGCCCAGTGTTTTCACATGTAAATGACGGCTGTATTGTTAGCACAGAGTGGCTCGGAGGGCTTCTGCGTTGTTATCTGATGGTGTGCAGGCCCTGCCGGGGAGGACGATTGAGGCTCGGGGTCTGGGACGGTGGCAGGCTCAGGTCGCTCAGAGAATAGCACAGCTGGCGGCGTCCCACGTGCGGCTCCTGAGCACAGAGAGAGCAGACACTCTGAGCAGGGTGGGAACTCACACATTAAGACCTCTACAAACAGAGAAATCCCCATTGTGGCATTATCAGAGCGTGGCCAGCTTGTGCTGCACACACACAGACAACAAGTACACAGAGAAAGAAACATTCAGAGCAGCTGAATAAGAAGTCTTTGCCCACTTTGCTCTTGTTATCTCACTTTTGCATAATGTTTGCATAGTTAATGTTTCGGTGACCCACTCTGTTTTGCTTTCTTATTTTAACCTTTTAAACTTAAATTCAAAAGGTTAAAGATGCCAGTTCACATGTCTTGTTTTTTTGTGGACATTTTTTGATCAACCAGAGGTCATTTTAAAACCCACAAAGGAATCTTTTTTTTTATGATACACAAAGTTTTTATTCACTGGATTTTAAATAAACATAC